ACTTTGCACTGGCCTGTCAGTGTCTAGATCTTGGCTCTGCCACTTACTAGCTACATGTCCTCAAGCAAGTTATTTTACCTCTCTGTGCCTCAGATTCTCTTTATTAGTGTCACAAAGTGACACTAATAAAAGTAACCCCCTCATTGGGTTGTTTTGAGGATCAAATGAATCAACATTGTGTTGGTGCCTGGTACGGACATTCAACACTGTGTGTGTTAAATAAAAATATAACTAGTGACCAAGGTGGCCCACAGGGGAGCAGACTGCCCCACGAGGGGCAGTGACAAAGTGGCAGAGCACTTGGCTGCAGGTGTGCCCTCCACCTGTCACAGGTGACGTGCAGGCACTGAGGGACCTCCCTCTCCAGGAGCGGGCCGCCCAGAGTTAATTCATGATCACTCCTGAGGATTCAGACTGCCTGGACACCCTCATCAGCAGCTGCAGGAGGAGAGGGCATGGCCTGTGGACTGGTAAACACACCTTGGGAACTATGCCAGTCACTAGGGAGGACAAGGTGGACAGCAAGAAGCCTGGGGGTGAGGGCTGGGCAGAAGGGATGGCTCCAGGCAGTAGGCATTTGACGGAGATGGCTTGGAAGCCTCAGGACAATGAGGCTTTCCCCAGTCACTGGGGCATTTTGGAATTCAGTGAAGCTCAATTCCATTTAATAAACATTTTTTAAGCAACAGGGTGTGCTAGGCCCGATGAGAGATGGAAGGCAAAATAGCACAGAAGCTCCCAAGGAGCTCACAGCCGAATTAGAGAAAGAGACATTGGGCACACTTATTGCCAACAGCACTGCCAAACACCACAGCAACAGCGCCAGCAGAAACCTCACTCACACTTTAAGACATCCCCGGGAGATTAAGATCTCCATCTTAAAGAGAAGGCGCTGGGCAGCCAGGAGGTTAAGCAGGCCATTGAAGGTGGTCAACACCGACCCCTGACTGTAAGGTCTGTGCCCTTAGCCACCACATGTTGTCTCTATTGTCACCTCTGATAATAAAGGTAGAGACACGTTGTAGGTGTTAGGGAAGCACCCTGAGCCTTAGTTTATTCACCTGCAAAATGGGTTAGTGACATCTGGTTTCCTGAGAGACAAGGGATTGTGTATGTAACAGGTCTGCACCACTGCAAGGCAGGTTTCTACTCCTGCCACGGAGGCCCAGAGCAGGTAGCAATAAGAGCTGCTCTTGGAGGGTAGAAGCCAAGCACTATGAGGCAGTAGTGCAGGCAGGGGGAACAGAATGAGCAAAAGCCCAGAGGTGAGAACGTGCAACTGGTCCAGCATGAGAACTGAGAAAGCAGGAGATTCAGACAGAGCAGAGAGCCCAAAGCTCTTCCCTGTCTTTCTTCCCTCTGCAATCCCGGAAAAGCTGCTGCTAGCTCCTTTCTAGTTCCTCTGCAACACACATAACTGACCTCTGTGCACACTACCCAACGGAAACACTCTTGTCATGGTCTTCAGTGCCGGCCTGTTGCCAGCCCAGTGGTCATTCTTGGATCTTATCTTCCTTCCTCCACAACCTGGATGGGTTCCTACCTTCTCTTTGAAACACCACTTCTCAGCTGGCTTACTTCCCTGAAGGCTGGGGTCTCCCCTCTGTCTCCATTGCTGGCTCCATCTCTTGTGCCACCCCTGAATGTTGCTGTGGTCAGTTGTGGACCTACTTCTCATCAACATGTTCTCATCTGTTCCCGAGGCTTACCCACTGCCTCCATGTGGAATGTCCAAGACCCGATCTCTAGCCCAGCACCCATCCTGAGCACTGGACCCATATACCTTCCTGCTGGGCATCTAGACCTGCATGTACTCCAGGCAGTTTGAACTCAAAATGAGCCCAGACTGGCTCCCTGCATCCCCAATATCTGTTGGTCTCCTGGGTTCTCTCTATCAGGGGTTTGCATCACTAATGCAAGTCAGATCCTGGGAGTCATCCCTAACATTCCCTCCCTAACACAGGGGTGCCATCTCCTGTCAATGTCTCTTGCTTCTTTCTCTCCCCCACATGGTCCCCTTGCTGCAGAACACACCTTCATCGCAGTTCCTGGGGTTCTACAGACCGTCCTATTGCACTCCTATCCAGCTACCAGAAAAGTCTCTGTGAAATGCAAATCTGCTCAGGGCACCCCCTGTCCAGAAGTCTTCAGTGGCTCCCATTGTGTTGGGGATAAGGCCCACACTTCATAGCATGCCACTCAGTGTTCCAGCCTCTGCACCACACAGTCCCACTGTCCTTGGGTCTCCAACCAGACTGAAACCATGGAGCAGATAGATTTATCTTCCTTCACCCCCATCATCCCAATCCACTTAGTCCCTAGGCCTCAACTTGAGGCTCCCTTCCTCCGGGGAGCCTTCCTGCTGCCCCAAAATGAGTTAGGACCCCTCTTCTATGCCTCCATAGCAGCTGTGCATGACAGAGAGCTATGTTCTTTCTACAACACACTAATGCTTTCTCTTCTTGCTCCCCACCTGACACCATGGAGTCTCTGAAGTCAGAGACTATCCTTGTGCTTTATTTTTCTAGGGTGCTAAGAAATATTTGCTGAAATCAAAGGCTTTGGGGAGGATCTTGGAAACAGACCCTGGGGGTGCTTTTAGGAAACGGGTTACTCTTTAAGGTACAGGCACTGAAAGTTGAATACACACTACCCTTTCTCCCCTTTTCCCTAACAGAACTCCAGTTTTGTTCAGGAGACTGCAATAACGTAAACTATATTTCCTAGTCTCCTTTGCAGAGGGTAGCCATATGGCCTAGTCTTGGCCAACAAGATTTAAGGAAAAGTAGCTTAGCATGCAGGGGAGAGATTTGTTTCCCTGATGTGAGCACAACCCCTTCTTGTTTCCTGTTTTCCACTTCCTTCTTGGAATTAAGAGAAGAGGCTGGAGGCGGAGCAACTATCTTGTGACAATGACCTAGCCACTCTAAGGAATCCTTCCCAGCCTAGTTCATGACTCCTGGACTACCTACTAGCAGGCTTCTTCCTATGAGACAGATAAATCTCATTGGAGCCCCTTTGGTTAGGTCTCCATTACATTTAGCTAACGCCACCTTGTAAGAGCAGATAAAAGCAGATAACCATTGGTGAGCATTTCTGAATAAGCCTTTTCTTTAGAAATGATGCTGGTCCTGACAGCAGGCAGATAGCAAGGTTAACGGAGTAGGATAAAATGAGGGTTGGAGAAGCAGGCTCTCCCCAGGTTTCTATCAGAGGACCATGACAAGGCTACACTCAGGGTTTAAGAAATAAGCTCCAGCCTTCGCAGCCCCAGTGTGCCTGTGACCAGGGCCTTCTCCACTCTGAATGAAATGAAATGCTCTCTTCAAGCTCTTCTCATTAAGAAATGAGGCTGCTGGAATAGATAACTTTTCAAAGGGCATAGTGCTCCAAGTCTGGGCTTGGGAGTCAGGCAGAGCTGGGTTGGGGTTCTAGCTCCATCACTTACAAGCTGTGTGTCTTCCAGTCTTTTTTTTTTTTTTTTTTTTTTTTTTTTTTAGCTGACCTCTCTGGTATCATCATCCATAAAATCCAAATTGTAACTGTACCTGTAACTGTTGGACTAATGCTGGCATTCTGTGGAATCATGCCTTAGGTACCCAACAGAATGCCTGGCACAGTACACCATCAGTTCTGTAGCGTGCATGGGATGCTCCCTCCGCCAGCCGTCCTTGTGTTCCAAGTTCTCTAAAAGGGTAGACTGGTGACTTGGAGTTTCCTGGCCTGTTCGGGGTCTGAGGATGCTGCAGGGCTCTGGAAAGCCTCTCTAGATGCCCTTTACTCTGTGGGTGAGTGAAGTGGCCAGAGGCTGCCCACTGTCCAATGGCTTTTCTTCCAGCACTACATGCTGTTGTGTCCAGGGTTCTTGGACCGCAGGTGGAGAGGGGAAGCCCACAGACAGAGGACAGCCCAGACCAGGCCCAGAAAGGCATTGTCCTGTGGGTCTTTGTCTTATCCAAAGTTTCCTGAGTATTGAAGCTGGGCTTGTGCTTTTCCTGGCAGTAGAGTGGGCTTGTGGAGGACTACAGGAATTAGGGAGCTGGAAAATACCTCCAGAATTGGATTCCTTACTGCAGCTGCTTTTGGCATAACTTTTCTTCTCCTTCTCTTAAAAAGCCTCATCTTCTTTCTCTTTTCTGCAGTAGAAATCCTAGTGGAAAAAATCTGGGGGGGGGGGGGGGGGAATAAAGCCGCTGTTCTATTCCAGCCCCAGGGAAGGAGGTCAGTAGGGTGCGTCTCTTATGTCCACGGGGGACCCTCTCTCCTGGCCTCATATTTCAGGCCAGACCCAGCCATGCTGACACTTGACAGCGCCTGCAGTTTACCTTGGCTCAGGTCCAGAGAGTTCGGGCCCTGCCCGGGGCGGCCCCCTCTCCAGCGCAAAGAGCAGTTTAAATATAAATCAGTCCCCGACACAAACAGCTTCAGCGAGTCTCGGAGCCATCACCGGAACTGTGAGCCCAGGTTTTCAGCGAGTGCAAACAAGCAGAGACCCGCTCGGTAAATCTCCCTGAGCGCGTCGGGAGGGGCGCCGCGGCACCCCTCTCCTTGAAAATCCGGCTCCCCGTCAAGCCCCGTAGCTCCCGTTGGCCCCTCCGGCGCCTCTCGGTTCTCCTCCTGCCTCTCCTGCCCCCGAAGCCCTGCCAACCTCTCCTCGGGTCAGCTCTAGTCGCCAGCCGGTCGGTCCCCGCTGAGCCCCCCCGCCCCGCCCCTCCAGTCCTCCGGGCGCCCCCACCCTCGTGCAGGCTCCTGCCCCCCCCCCCCCCCCCCCCCGCTACCTCCCCTCCTCGGGGCCCAACGCCCCCAGCCGCCCAGCAGGCGGGACCTTCTCAGTGGCGGTCAAGCCTCGCAGGTCCCAGCCAGGCTCCGGGAGCACAGACGACCCCGGGCGTGGAGTGAGGTTACGCGCGGTGGGCCGCCGCGTCACACCTGTCTGAGGGGGCGGCCCCGGCGGGGGCGGGGCGGGGGCTCGCAGCGCCTTCGACAGCTACTGAGGAGAGGGAGGAGGGAGAGCGCGTTTCATCATCGGCGACGGCGGCGGCCACTTATAAAACTTCTGGGCGCGCACTCGCTCGCGCAGTCTCCGCGCTGCGAGCCTCCTCCGGCGGCCGCGGCCACTCTCACCAGCCACCCGCGCTGCAGCCCCAACCCGAAGCGCCCGGACCCTGCCCGCCCCGCCGCCCGCCCGGGCCCTGCAGCCGCCGTCCCGCCCCGCCGGGGCCGCCACCATGGGGTTCTGGCCCGAGCCCGGCGCGCGCCAGGGCAGCGACGCCTCTTCGGGCAGAACCGGCCGCTGTTCCCGCTCGGTCTTCAGCAACATTAAGGTGAGCGCAGAACTCGCGGCCGTCGGCGCCCGAGCCGCGGCGGGCTCACCTCCGGCGGGCGCCGACATCGGTGCTGCGGAGCTGGAGGGGGACGCCGAAGCGCCGGGGCTTCCTCTCAGCCCTCCGTGCCGGGGCCAGGGACGCATCCCCGGGGCCCGCGGCGGGTGAAGGGGGCCCGCACCGAAGAGCTCGCGCAGGGCGGCTGTGTGCGTGTGTGCGTGTCTCCGTGTGTGTGCGCGCGCTCCCACACCCTCATCGGGGCAAGAAGCGGGACAATGACAGTACCTGCCTGTTGGTTGGACTCTTAGTTGGCAACTGTCCTGCTCTTCGACTGAAACAGAACTCGCGGGGTACTTTTTCGGTCTCCGGCGGGCAATGAACTTCGGGAAGGGGTGGCTTGGAGGTGCCGGGAAAATGACAGGCTGTGTGGTTCCTCGGAGCTGGAGCTCAGAGCCTAACTCATCCTGGGGTGGGTGGAGGAAGGGATGTTCTCCTTCCCTAAAAGCAGCAGTGTCCCCGGCACTGCTACCTCTCTGCGCCGCTGCCTGCAAAGTTCAGAATTCCCCCCGGGGGCTTGGCAACCAACGCTGCGTGCTTCCTGGTCTGGAAATGGCCCCAGGGAGGCAGCAGGCCCTCGCAGTACGTTTAGTAACACGGAGCAGGTGCCTCTATCTTGGCAAGGTATTGGGAATGGGTGAAGATGGGGTGTAGGTGGCCGAATGGCGAGGACTCTTTCTCCCGCAGGGGGTTGGGGAATGCTTGCACTTCCTCCCACGCTCCAGGGGGACCTGGAATAATTGAATCCACACTCAGGCTCTTTGGCTGGTTCTGCCTGGGCAGAAACAACCGCGAAACGCACCTCCTGGGAGGGTAGAGGGGCTGTGGTGAGGACTGCAGAGCCCACATGAAGACTTCCCCACCCCCTACCCCCGCCCCGGGGGTGGGGAGGGAGAGGAATGGTCCTGAGAGGTTCTTTCCAGCAATCATACAGTCAGGTGGGGCTAGGTAAAGCCTCCAGTGGTGCAATTAAAGGCAGAATGGGGAGAGGTGTCCCTGTGGACTGATTATTTGAGTGTTCAACAGAAAGGGATCTGGAGGTCACAGTGAATCCCACCTATATACTTACTCATATTGTTAGCAGTGGAGCTGGGATCCCCACTCCTGCTTCTGCCCTGTCTCCACACCACAATAAATAAAGGCTGAGTTGATTCCATGGTTGGGTGTCAATAAGACACAGAAATTTTGAAATCATTTCAGATAACCCTCAAATTGCCTCACCTTTGGCCAGACCTGGATGAGAACACTGTGTGCCGTTTGGTCCCACCATTCAAAAGAGACTTGGAGAAGTTTCAGCAGAGAACTGTAGAAAATTTGGTGTTTATAAATTAGGGATTGGGAGGAAAGGGTGGGAGCAACAGCTGGGTGGTCCGAAAAGAAAGAGGCCCAGGAGAGAGTCAGGGTGGGAGCACCTCTCCCTATTTCACCAACAAGGGGAAGTGGGGTAGCTTGCCCCAGAACAGTTTTCTGACAGTGAAGGTCACCCGCAATGAGACTGATCCATTTAGACCTGCCCTGAGCCCCCAAAATAAGCTTATGGCAGCAGTGCCTTTGAAGATCTGTAAAAATGAGATAATTTTTCATATGTTGATGATTTAACCACATGTGCCTGAGGCCTGGACCCAGGCCAATGGGCCTCTGAAAGGTTCATACCAGTTAAGAGTTTTTCTTAATTCCAAAAATCAGATCCTCTTAATTTTTATCTCCATGGATCCATAGTAACTCTGAAACCAAAGTTTAGAGAGACTTCAATTAGCTACTCTTAGTCAACCTGAAATCAGGTACAGTTTGGATATCTCAAGGCAAATCTGGGGCCTGGAATTCCATTAGTTAAACTCATATAAGCCTATTCTTCCAGAGGGCAGTAATAATTGTCTAGGGAATTGCAATTTCCTGGGAGATTCCCTCCTCCCAATGAGAGGTTGGGCGACTGCCCTGCATGCTCTCTCACTGGTGGATGGACTGTGTGTGTCTTGTGAACATGTGTGACATGGGGGCTAACAGGGGACACCCAACCTAAGGACCCATCATTTCCTGGGTTCCTCAATGCTGAGGCAGACTAAATGATTGGCTTTGTGACATTCCTGCAAAACCCTACAGACCATATGGTTTAGGGGGAAGGGGATGAGGCCAGGAGACATAGGTCCAAGATGTAGATCCAACCTCTTACTAACACATGGTGGGGGGGGGGCATTTCTCACCTTTCCTGGGCAGCAGAGTCCTTATGTTAAAACAACAACCACAAACAAAAAACAGGTGCTGAGAATGATCCCTACCTCATGGGGGCTCCTTAAGGATTATGTGGGATGAGGCATAGGAAATGGGTCCTGTAAACCATGCAGGACTCTCTAGGATTGGCATCAATAAGATGTCAGTTCTTGCCTCAGCAAACAGGATGCACGTTTAAACACCATTTAGGATCTGTTGTTCCACCAATTATGCCTCACATGGGGCATAGTTAATAGTTAAGAGAAACCACAGTTAATGTCCAAAATAGATGTAATTGTAGCTAACCCTAATGGAGCTATCTGGATGTACCAAGAACTTTGGATGTTTTCCACCCATGATTAATCCCCATTACAACTCTACCTAGTGGATACTATTACTGTCCCCATTAATGATGAGGAAACCAAGGCTTAGTGAGGTGTGGACACACAGCCAGAAAGGAGTGGAGTGTTGAGGAACTAGATATGTGAGACCCCAGGGTTAGAGTCTAACCGCCATACACCCTGCCCTCAGCACCACACAACGCTGCTCAGTTTTGGTTGAGCACGTGGGGAAGCTGGAGGTACGCTTGTTCTAAGGGGTCAGTGCTTTCTTCAGGCCCTGCTGACACACACGAATCCCAGCTGTGAGCAGGGGTCGCGGTTCATAGCTACAGGATGGATGTCTCCAGTCAGAAATGGGCTCGTCATACCTTTTCACTCTTCACAACTCTCCCCTAAAGGGCCTGGTGGCTCTCACTTAGGGGGTGAGGTTTTTGTACTCTCTCCTGTAGGAGTAAATACAATTGTATTTATTCTGGAGACAGTCCTTATTGCCTCTGGCTACAGGATTCTTAAGAAGTAGAACTCCTCCCTAGTCATTGTCAGAGCAGTTCAACCTCCAGAACTCTAAATTAAAAACAGGTTCATTCAGCGATGATGGGGGTAGGGGTGAGGAGGAAGGAGAGAGCTTTTGTGGCTACCGGGTCCTGGCAGCCTCAAAGAGATCTGTTTCTTCTTAAAATGAACTTTGAGGGGCCCAGCGGAGGTTATCTTACAAAAGGAGTAGACCATTGGTAATTGCTGCCCAAATTTCAGGAACTCCCACACCTCAGGCCCTGGCATAGGGAAATAGTGTATATCCAGTCAGGGAGGGAGAATCCAGTGGGGATGGAGGGCGGGGGATGCACAGTGGGACGAAAGGGATAGACAGATCTCACAGCATGGCCTGAGTGGCCCAGTGACCACTGACTTGGGAGGGAGGCACCCAAATGAGGGAGAGGTACTTTATCCTGGCCTGTGTCTGTAACTTCCTAAGGCCTCTGACCCCCAAATGTGGGGAGACAGCTTAGTCTTAACTTCCTGGGCTTAACCTCTTGGTTTCCAGAGGAAAGTGCTATATGCCACCAACCTGACTGTTTATGCCTGGGGAAAACACTCTCAAGAGAATCCCTGGGCCAAAGAATTCCTTAACTGACCTCATGGATTAAGAGGTGCCCACTCCTCCTGCCCTGGGGCTGGTGGGTATTTCTCTGATGTTGAGGACACCATTTATTTATCTCCTGGGAGGGCCTAGCTTGCCCTGCTTATATGTGGGGGTATGGGGAGGGGAGAACAATGGGAACTGGTTGGGTGGGGGTCACAGGTCACTCCGACCATTTTCTCCTGGGATGATACTCAGGACCCCACTCCTGGTAATGAATTGGGACCTATACTGCCACAGAACAAAGGGGAGAGTGATTTATGTTTCACAATATGGATCGCTTATCTTATCTCTTTCTGATCATTCTCTTTTGTCTGTGACTTTTTTTCCCCATTCTAGGAGACGAAGATATGATGTTGGGATGTTGGGTTGGGAGCATGGCTTTCCCTCACCTTCTTTTGTTCTGTTTGTGGAATGCAGAGGAACGTAGGTGGTCCCCAATGCAGACATCATCCCTCCTTGTTCTCCCTCTTCCCACCCCTGCTTGGTTTTATCCCGTCAGTGGGTTTAGCCTCCTCCAGCCCTTGTTTCACCCCACTTTCTGCCTGTGGAGGCACTGGCCTGCAGAGAGCTCCAGTTATGTGCCAAAGCCGGAGAGCTGGGCATGGTGAAGCTAAGAAGAAGCTTGGGACACTCCTGGGCATTGGCCCCCATTTTATATCATAAGTTCATGACCGTGTACTTGGGCATTGCACTCTCAGTATCTGTTAACAAGGACATAAAAAAATAGGTATGTGAATTTACACTTGTCTATACCACAGGACCAGCACAGATGGGTCGTCACCGTGGTACTTGGGGGCTCCTTTTGAGGGACCATGGGAAAAAGTTGAGTCCTTAGTACAGACAAAGCTTGATTTATTTGAGTTTTTTTTAAAAAAAAAAACCTTTTTATTTTGAAACAATCATCTATTCCTAGGAAAAATAGTGCAGAGAGGTGCTGTGTACCCTTCACCCAGTTTCTCCCAGTGGCTCTGTCTTAATTCTGCATTATAATACCAAAAGCAGGGAATGGACATTGATACAACGTGTGTGTGTAGTTCCATGCCATTTTGTCACACGTAGAGATTCGTGGAACCATCACCCTACTGCCTCAAGACACAGAACTAGTTCTGTCACCACCAAGATCTCTGTTGTGCTGCTCCCCTGTCATCTTGCCTACACCCTTCTGCCTGACTACCATCACAACCCCAAATCTGTTCTCCATCACGACCATTTGTCATTCTGAGAATGTTACATAAATGAGCCATGCAATATGTAACCATTTGAGACTGGCTATTCTCTTTCAACATAATACCCTTGAGATCCATCCAGGATGTTGCTTATATCAATAGCTTGTTCCATTTTATTGCTGAGTCATACTGCATGGTATGGATGTCCTGTGATTTGTCTAACCATTCACCTATGGAGGGACATTTCGGTTGTTTCCAGTTTGGGGCTATTACAAGTAAAGCTGCTACAGATAATCATGTACAGGTTTTTGGATAGATAAAAACTTTCATTTCTCTGGAATAAATGCCCAAGAGTGCATTTGCTGGGTTGGATGGTAGTTGCATGGTTTTTTTTTTTGTTTTTGTTTTTTTTAAGAAACTGCCAAACTTTTTCCGAAGTGGCCATACAGTTTTACATTTGCACTGGCAGTTTAGGAGAGGTCCAGTTTCTCTACATCTCTGACAGCATTTGGTGTTGTCACTACTTTTTACTTTAGCTCATTCAAATGGGTTTGTAGAACATCTCA